CTGCTGTAAACCAATATGCTGTCGTGACGCGACAAAATACAATGAATCCATTATAATCAGTGATGCTGTCTACACTGTATGCGGCGCGGCACGACAAATCCCCGACAGTAAACTGATGCCGCATTCTTTTTATGATGTACTGACACAAAGTTCAAATGATTGGCAACGGTCGATTTGTCGCGTCCAGTGTAGACAGACTTTGGGGCCATTCACATGTCGCGCCTAAAAACGCGTGGGAAAACGCCAGTCGTGCGGCTTTCTCCTTCTTTCCAAAGCGCTCGGGAGCTTGCGCTTTCATGGCGTCTGCCGTTGCTAAGCAACTGTGACCTGTGCTCTCCACGACTACGCGGAAGTTTCAACAAAGGATCAATGGATTTCCAGCACTGTGCAGTAGCTCTGCTACTAAATGTATTTAAAATGGGTATCTCTGTACAGCTGTCGCGTTCGGTGTAGACACTGTGTCTGTGTGTGAGCAAAAAAAAACAAAAAACAATCAGTATAAATATAACGATCAGTAGCCTATAAACATCGCACATCGCGATATCGATGCTGAAACGATATATCGTGCAGCCCTACAACATGGCATACAGAAGACTGCATTGGACGTTTCCAATCGTTGGGAATTTTGTTATTAAAAATTTAATATTTTAATTAGTGCTGTCAAATGATTAATCGCATCCAAAATAAAAGTTTTTGTTTACATAATATATGTGTGTGTACTGTGTATATTTATTATGTATACATACACACACATGCATGTATATATTGAAGAAAAATTTTATGTTTATATATTAAATATATTTATATATAATATAAATTATGTGAATATAAATATATACATGTAAATATTTTCTTAATATATATTGTATATTAAGAATAAATATAAATTTATTAAATAAATAAATTTTATTAATAATAAATTAATACATAATAAATATTCCCAGTTCACACACATATAGGCAAAACAAAAACGTTTATTTCGGATGCGATTAATCGCAATTAATCGTTGCCCAGCACTAGTTAAAATAAAAGTCCTGGTGCTGTCAATATAAAAGTCCTACTTCCAGTGATTATCGACCAAACAAAATCTGATGCAGATAATTCAAAAAATTGAAATCCGCAGTACTTTGGTGACATAGCTAATGGTTGACAACACTTCACATAGTTGATGTTGCATTTGTAGCATTACAATTGTGAATGAATGGACATCAGCTGAGAGATGCTGAGAATATTTGCTCCGGGACTCATGCCTGACTGAACACTTGGCTTCAAACAATAGTAACTGTGTTCCCAGCAGCTGATAAAAGTCCTCTGTGAATGTGTGTGTGTGTGTGTATTGGACCAGTCACCAAGCCAGCTGGTGTTTAACCCTAAATTTCTCTCATATGGCTAACACACAAACACACACACTTTCAAACATCTCTTTAAACCACAGACCTCCTGCCCTGTATCATCAAATGTTCCCGTTAACTAATTTAGATCTCTAAAGTGGTTCCACATCAGTGAACGTGGGGATTTTCTCGCCACGGGATAATGCAGATAATAGGTTAACGGATCTGTTTGTATTTATATGGCAGTACTAGTCACAATGGATCAATCAAGTAGCCATCACAGTGTAGGTTGCAGTTGTAAAAAGTGGTTTTACTGGGCAGTGCCTTGTTTTATGTATCTTAATATGTATGTGTGTGTGGTGGAAGAAGGGTTTAGGGGTTTGGATGATTTCTTGTCTCCAGGGATCTTATTTTGGAGCTTTGATCTGAGGGAGGTCTGTCCCAGTGGGTGGGTATGTGTGTGCTGTGAGTTGTCTGATTTACTATTTCCTGTCATAGGGCGACAGACCGGCGCTCAGTAATTGTATCAGCATTTGTAGTGAGCAGGGTTGTGCACCGTTCAGAGTTGAACTAGCTTATTTCCTGAAGTTGATTTCAGCTAGAATTTAATCTCATTTCATTACATTTTATTTTTCATTATAAATTATATGCACCATTCACAAGTTCGGAATCAGTCAGATTTTATTTTTTATTTTAAATAAATTAATATTTTTATTTTAGCAAGGGTCATGAAATTGATCAAAAATGACAAAAATATTTTATTACATTATAAATATCTTTATTATTTCAAATAAAATCAGCTTTTTTGACGTTCCTTTTTTTCTAGAATCCTGAAAAAAATTGACCACAGTTTCCACAAAAATATGAAACTGTTTTCAACATTGATAATAACAAGAAATGTTTCTTGAGCAGCAAATCAGCATATTAGAATAATTTCTGAAGGATCATGTGACACTGAACTCTGGAGTAATGATGCTGAAAATTCAGCTTAGGATCACAGAAACAAATTACATTTTAAAATGTCTTCACATAGAAAATAGTTATGTTAAATTGCAATAAAATTTCACAATCTTGCTGTTTTTACTGTATTTTTGATCAATTAAATGCAGCCCTTGTGAACGGAGAAATCTTACTGACCCCAAACCTTTGAATGGTAGTTAATTTCATTATTTTGCATAAAATAATTATATTTCAAAAATTAAAATGAATTTTATGCATAATGTTGAAGCAACATGTAATATAATAATGCTTTAATTTGCTTAAGTGAATAGATTCAGTTTTTTATAATGAATATTTTTTTAAATAAATATCTGAACACAATATGATAGATGTTTTATGGAGGTTTACTGTTTCTGTTAATTTGACCGTATTCAACAGTTTAGAGAAATATGTGTCTAATCAAACAATGTATTTTGCACATCAAAAGATAAATAAACATAAATAGTCAAAATTAGTTGTGCAGTTGGTATATGTTTTGTTGCACTAATGAAATTGCTCTGCTCTGTGACTGTTTGACTGTTCACGTTATTTGAATTGCAATACCTCTTCTTGTCATTTCAATTCAAATTCCAAGGCAGCCTGCAGGGTGTGGGCAATTCAATTCAAATTCATCATGAACCAACGTCAGTTCTTAAAATTTGCCCAACCCTAGTAGTGAGGTGGCTATAACAGCAGCAGGTCATGCGAAATGTGCGAAATAAACATATTTATTTGATTAATGATTTTTAATGTTGGAATCCATCCATTTTTGTAATTCATTCTTGACAGTATACATTATCCCAGTGTAACCAATACTTTGTTTCTCGTTGCGAGTGTTGTTTGGGGTCTGTGTTAAGTATGTCTTTATCTAGTGATTGATCTAATGATTGACTGATCTCTTTCTCTCTCATTCTTCTCCAGGGCTGTTGAGAAGTTGACAGGCCACAGTTTTGAGAATCACTCCTTCAGTGTGTCGTACATACTGGACGAGGAGGCAGGAAGGGACGGGGGTGTAAGACCCCAGGTCCCACGAGGGGCATCTAAAATGGGGACAGGAAGTCGGGAGCAGGAGTTTGGTCAGCCAGGGGCCATGGGAGGCCCCCAGGGGCCCAGGCATCGTCAGCAAGAGGTGCCTCTACGAATCCTAGTGCCCACTCAGTTTGTGGGAGCCATCATTGGGAAAGAGGGACTCACTATAAAGAACATCACAAAGCAGACCCAGTCCAAGTAAGAAGTCTTGATTATTTTAAACATTTTAACCAGTATTTGTCTAATTAGTAATAAGTTAAATTTAATTAGGGCCCAAGCACCAATGGTGCGAGGACCCTCTTGGAATTGCTTCGTTTATTGAGGTTATAACTCAAAAGATGTAATAGCTATCATAGTTTAATCACACAAATACGGATGTACCAGTAGGACATTTCCGGGCTGATAATGAACACCTTGCTGTGGCTGAAACAATAATTTATCATTTTGCTTTTTGTGTTTTAACCCTTTTGTCTGCACTGTAAACCTGGTTTTCTGTGCTGGTAAAATGCAATTGATATTTCTACCTCATGTAACCTATAAAAATTAGTTTTGCTTGTATAAATTAATGTGATTAAGTGATGCTAAATACTGTTTTTGGTTTGAATAATACCAGTTAATGTTCTGTAGAAGTTGCCATTTTTCAAAGTGGAATAGCTAGCTAAATTAAAAATCACTCACTTGATACTTTTAAAAGCTTAGAATTTGGACCTCATAATAGTGGTTGACCGATATATCATCAAGGCCAATATTTGACGTTTGGCCGATAGGTTTATGGCCGAGTAGGAAGCGGGATGTTTATGCTGATCCCAGAACCTAAGCTCAGACTACCTTTATTTAATAGTTCTGTTTAATAATCGAAAGGCAAACGCAGTAATACTTAAGTCTAATATCTAAAGAATATCTAAACATTTAGGGCCAGTTTTACTAAACAGGGCAAATTCCAAAATAGTGCAGATGAGAGGGGAAATTTTTTACTAACAACGCGCAAATTTTAAGAACACAGATGCAACATCTCATTTCCATATCGACCAACGCAATATACCAATCGCAGCGCAAATTAGCATAGTTACAAATAAAGAAGCCACAGTACGAGAACCGGAGACCAAAAAAGGTTTGCAAGAAGCTTTGATAGACCTGGTATTGCGTGACTCCTAGTTGAGGATTCCATGTCGTCTTTTATTTCCTGAAGCAAATTAAAAATAACATGTCTTGGTAAACAATATGTTTGGACAATGTGTTCTTCTTGCTTTCTAATAAATTAATACATGTGGAAAAAATCCCTTAATGCCCAAACTTTGGCAAATTTGCCAAATGCGTAGCCTGTTTAAAAGTGAATGTACTGTATATTGTGTGTAGTGCTCTGTCCATGCAAAAAGGATCTAAGCCTTGTGAATTAGATGCGGACAGGGGTGCGTTTCCCAAAAGCAGCTATGGTTGCAAGTTCTGTTGTTACCAATAGAGTTCAATGAACTTGTGACCATAGTTTGCTAAAAGCTGGCTCAAATGCACCCATGGAGAGTTGTGCTGTGAATATCGCATTATTTAATGAATTATTGCATATCGCATTTTTCTTCAATATCGCACAGCCCTATTGTGTATGTATTGATTGTTCATCTGAAGTGGCAATGCTTATTTTCTTCATTTTTTTTTGTGTAGATTACAAGACCTAACTATATATAACCAGGAACGTACCATCACGGTGAGGGGAGTGGTGGAGGAGTGCTGTAATGCAGAAGTGGAGATCATGAAGAAACTTAGAGAAGCCCATGAGAATGATGTGGCTTCACTTAATGTGAGTAAATCATAGCTTTTGAGGTTTATTGGTGGATGGATGGTAGTTTGTTTATAGAGATAGGAACAGTTTTATGTGAAGTCACTTTGAAACAACAGGGGTTGTGAAAAGTGTCGTATAATAAGTTATATAGGGCCAGTATTTTTTTCTCTTCTTAAACACACTAATCCTACAACAATACTCTTGTTTGTTTGTAAATGATGAAGGAAGCCTTTAAACCTTTACTTGCAAATTGAATCCAGATGGGACTTTTAACAGAAGAATTTATCATTATTAAAGCTGAAAGCTGAAATATCACTTTAAAATTTGCATCACCATTAATTATTTTATCTATTGACAGCCCTATTTAAAGATAAAAAGTGGAGAATTATGAATGTACATGGACATGTGCTCCAAACTGTTTGTATGTTTTGATTCTTTTGAAACTGACCTGACCTGAACTGATCTCTGTGCAGTTATGTGGGAGTTGCTGTCAAAAGTAAAAGCCCATGTTTACAGAGCTTTAAACCTGTATTTTTAGAAGGATTGGGTATTTTATTTTAAAAATGTGTAATTATAAAACTTCATTGGCTGTAGAAAAATACCTTTTTTATCCTCCAAACTTCTCCTGCAATCGAATGTAGTCAAACAACCACCCAAAGAGTCCCCTTTCTTTTGTGTATTGTGACATATTCTAAAATTTTGGTAAATCAGGAGCCAGTTTTAAAGGGTTAGTTTACCCAAAAATAAAAATTCTGTCATTAATTACTCACCCTCGTGTTGTTCCAAACCCGTAAGACCTTCGTTCATCTTCGGAACACAATTTAAGATATTTTTGATGAAATCTGAGGGCTCTCTGACCCTCCCATAGACAGCAAGGTAACTACCACGTTCAAGGTCCAGAAAAGTACAAGTGAGTGTTTTCCACACTTGTGGATGTGCGTTCACGACAGTATCATTCATGACGCGAGCGTGTGGCGTCGCTGACCCAGATCCGGCGTGATGAACGCGCGTCCACAAGTGTGGAAAATGTGGAATAAAGTTATTTTTGTTTTCTTTGCACAAAAAAGTATTCTCGTAGCTTCGTAACTTTACAGTTGAACCACTGATGTCACACAGACTACTTTTGTCGATCATCTTGGTACTTTTCTGGACCTTGAACGTGGTAGTTACCTTGCTGTCTATGGGAGGGAGTCAGGTATACTTATTTCATTTATTTTATTTAAAAAAAAAATTTTTTCAAATTGCAAAATATAATTTTTTATAAATAAATTTTTTATACATTTTTGGCAATGAAACTAAATAATATATTGGCTTACAATATATTGAGCACCTCTAATCACTAACATTGCATAGTCATTCTTATTTCTGAGATCATAACCTATTCTCAATATCCATTTTGCTCTATCCACGTGAATAAAAATGTGATAAAGATCATCCTTTGCTATGTCTCAGGGTAGATATCCATCGTAAGGAGAATGCAGGAGCAACTGAGAAGGCCATCACTATCCACTCATCTAAAGAGGGCTGCCATTTAATTTGCTGATTCAGTAACTGTTTGACTAACATAAACCTGTGAAATTGAACAAGACTGATTCATTCCACGCTTTGCATAAAGTCTCACTTGTACTCTCAGATTCACATCCTTCTCCATCTCTGGTTTCAGCAGCAGACTAACATGATGCCAGGTCTAAACCTGAGCGCGTTGGGGATCTTCTCCTCTGGCTTGTCTGTTCTCCCTCCAGCCTCTGGTCTGCATGGATCTCTGTCCGCCCCAGCCAACTACAGCCCCCTGCTGGTGAGCATCAGGATGTGCATGTGTATATCAGGACTTTAAAGGGGTCATATGATGCTGCTAAAAAGAACATTATTTTGTGTATTTGGTGTAATGAAATGTGTTTATGCGGTTTAAAGGGGTCATATGATGCTTTTTTAAAGATCATTATTTGGTGTATTTGGTGCAACAGAATATGTTGACATGCTTTAATGTTCAAAAAACACATTATTTTTCAAATACTGTCATTTTTGGGTGAACTAACCCTTTAAGAACACAGATCTACCAAGATGCACAAATATACTGTGCCATTTCAGAGGATTGAATGTACATCCGTACCATTTCAGATGATGCTCTAAACAAGCAGCGTTTAGTGATGTACTGAAAAAGAATTTCAGAACTCTTGAACTACAGCAACAAGAGTTTGTTAGAACTTACCAGATAAATGAATTCAGGGACGTGAAATATTGAAGTTATTAGTTTACTGAATTATTGATTATTATTATTAATTTTTGAGTAATTGATTATTGTATCTTACTTGTGGAGTTGTCTTGTTAAAGTAAAGCTTCTGCCATTAAGCTCTGTGACTCTTTTTTTTTTTTTTACAATAATAGCTTATTATTACTACTATTAATCTGCAAATTTTAATCTCCAATTTATATGAACTACTTAGCGTACATGTTTAGGTACATTGAGGAAAAAATGGTAACCTAAAAATGGCAACATCTAAGTTAACTGGTTTTAAGTCTAAAATTGTATTTAATTTGCTTAATCAACCTAAATGCGTTAACCTAAATGCTTTACTGAACTAATTTTTATGGGTTAAATCAGGAAAAAAATAGGTCAACTTGTAGTCATCTACCGAAAGGTTTATTACTATAAAATTACTGATGCCCTCCAAGTACAGTTAAGCTTTTCAACTTGAGATATGAATATGTCGGTATGTTACCATGGACAGCAATGACATGTACATAAAGCAGTCAATGTAAATATAGAATTGTCCATCAGTAGACTTATATACTCACAATTGATCTGAATCAAGTATTGCAGAGAACAATGTAATACGGACTGACAAACACCAAACATCCTTTAACTGTTCTCACACAGTGTTTGGGTTTAACAGTGGCTTTAATCCTGTTTCTTTAATTTTAGTAAAGCAGAACTTGTTTTGCTTGGACAGACAGTGATTATCAGGCAGTGTGGGGATGTGAATTGGCATTAACTCGGTAGAACTGCATTCGTTTAATCCAGGGGTGCCCAAACTCGGTCCTGGAGGGCCGGTGTCCTGCAGAGTTTAGCTCCAACTTGCCTCAACACACCTGTCGGGAAGTTTCTAGCATGCCTAGTAAGAGCTTGATTAGCTTGTTCAGGTGTGTCTAATTAGGGTTGGAGCTAAACTCTGCGGGACACCGGCCCTCCAGGACCGAGCTTGGGCACCCCTGATCTATAA